TCCAGGTGCGGTTCCTGGAGCAGCAGAACAAGGTGCTGGAGACCAAGTGGAGCCTCCTGCAGGAGCAGGGCATGAAAACCGTGAGGAACAACCTGGAGCCGCTTTTCGAGACCTACATCAACAACCTGAGGGTGCAGCTCAACAGCCTCCTGAGCGACAAGGGGCGGCTGGAGGGGGAGCTGCTCAACACCCAGTACCTGGTGGAGGACTTCAAGAAGAAGTAAGTCTGGGGGTGCTGGGGGGTGCAGCCCTTTTCCCCACCCTCAAACCAGCTGGGGGGATCCAGGGGAGCCCCAGGGAAACCCAGGGATTCCCGGCAGGGAAAGCTGGGATGGTTTTGTGTTTTTTTTTTTCTCCGGGAGGAATTTTCCCAAGGAGAAGTTTTCCCAGTAACGGGGTAACACATCCCAACACACCAAACGTCCAGGGGGTAATTTAGGGCAGGATCAAAGGCTTATTAACTAAATTGCCTCCTGAGAGAGAAAACAACTGCACGGGGAGTTTCAGGGCAGCACGTTTGGTTTGCTGAAATCAGCAGCAGCAGAGGATGAGTAATGGCCAGAAACGAGTGGAAAATGAGGGATCTGCTCGGATGGGTTTGATGTCTTGTTTTAACTGGCTCGGCTTCGTGGTCTCTGCTGCGGGAGAAAAGAGCCTCGTATGCAAAACGCTCTTGAGGAAGTTCATTCCTGCGAGGTAAAATCACCTCCCTCTGCTCCTGCCCAAACAAACCCTCCTCCTGCCTCCCTGCCCCAGGTACGAGGATGAGATCAACAGGAGGACCATCGCCGAGAACGAGTTCGTGACGCTCAAGAAGGTGAGGGAACGTTCCAGAACACCAAGGGACGGCTGCCTGGGGAGCTCCGACTCCCCTCCCAGGCACGAACCCATCCGTAGATCCATCCAGTCGTATTCCAGCCCCCTTTATTTTTGGGTTTGTGGTTCTTCCCTGGAGCGTTCCTGCAGCTGTGCCTGTTCCTGGTTTGCTGGTGGGGCCCTAACCCCCCCAAAACTCTCTCGTCCCCCAGGATGTGGACGGTTCCTACATGAACAAGGTGGAGCTACAAGCCAAGGCAGACGCTCTGACCGAAGAGATTAATTTCCTGAGAACCCTCTACGAGGCCGTGAGTCCAAAACCACCCCAACCCTCGTTAAGAGCTCCTCTGCCCCCATTCCCCCGAAAGCCCCAGATTTCCCCCCCGGGAGGTGCCAAATCCTTTCCCTCTCTGGGGCCACACCCGAGCTGTTCAGATCCCAATCTGCAGCCGCCTCTCCCTGGCCCGGGAGCAGGGAAAGGCCTCTCCCGAGGAATCACCTCCCCCTGTGCCCTTGGCAGGAGCTGTCCCAGATGCAGACCCAGATCTCCGACACCTCGGTGGTGCTGACCATGGACAACAACCGGAACCTGGACCTGGACAGCATCATCTCCGAGGTGAAGGCGCAGTACGAGGACATCGCCAACCGCAGCCGCGCCGAGGCCGAGTCCTGGTACCAGACCAAGGTGAAGGGCCCGGGGGGTTCCGTGCTCCAATCTCCATGTCTTGTCAGGAACAGACACAGACAAACCCCGGCTCGGCCCAGGAAACCTCCTCGGAGGTCCCGTTGCACAGCTCGGCTCTGGC